CACCCGTTTCTTCATAAACCTGAAGTTATATCATTTATATTATTTAAAATGTTTAATTTTTATAATTTTAGTTACACAAAACCGTTTAATTTTAAAATATTAAATATGTTTTAAAACTGTAGTTATATATATATATATATATATATAATACAAATCAGTGGCAGATTCTGTCTGTCATAGTCTGATTTTTAAATTGAAAAAGGAAGGCGTAGCTAACCTCACGTATAGCGCAATCAGCAGGCTCTTCACCTTCTCCCATCTTTCCTTTCGGAAACCCCCACTTCCCACTGCTCCCTTGCACCATTACGCACTGGAAAGAAGTTATAATAGTTATTGACTAGCTTGATTTTTATATAAGGCGGTTTGAAATATGCAAGAATTATGGTCTGAATTGAATGAATGCACGCGGTGAATGATAACTTACGAATTGAAGTGAAGGATCCAACAAAATGGCTCCACACGTTGGAATCTGAGTTTTGTATTCCACCCATTTCTGAAAATTTTTATGAAAATTATCTACATAATTTTCAGTTTTTTTGGAGCATTTCAGTAGTTGGAATACAAACTCGGAATGAGAAATTCCTGGTTCTTTTGGATTTTCCAGAATTAAGTCAATGTAGTGCCAATACGCATGTTCGCATTTAAACATCAGTTTGTTAAAGTGTTCTGAAATCTCTTCATTTTGAAACAAAAATTGTCTGTTGAAAAATTATTAAACATTATTATTTATTACGAATTAAACATATTGGTTATTATAAAAATGTATGCATACATTTGCTACAAGCATCACTACATAGATATATAACTACATCGATATATCACAATATATCAAATTATTAAAAGAAAACATTTACCGGGACCTAGATCATAAACAATCAGATATATATTAATTACACCTAAACGCTCACTTTTTAATTTTTGTTAAACACGTCTACGTTTTCTTTCTCTGGTTCTTTTTAGGTCAATTTTTTAGAAGTTTTTACTCTTTTCTTTAGCTACTTCTTAATCATTTACAAAATTTACAGCGGATCGCAAGAAACATCTGTTTGTGACATTTTTTGAGAAGAAATGTTGAATATCGCGCAAACAGCGTTTTAGAAATTGTTGATTAATTGAGTGACATTTTGGTAACTAACTTTTTCTATTCTTAACTGCATCGGAGCTAAAAGGTTTTCAAAAAAAAAATGAAGAAAAAATATGATGAGGCGATAAATATATAGAATATAGTAATTTCTTGATTTACGGAATAATCTTCGCAGGAAAAATCTTCGCCAGGGTTATCAATGTGATCAAAGGCGATCTACTCATCGGATAATTGCAGATGCATTTGTTAGTTTTTACAACTAGTTGTTGGTCTATTGCCTTACTTTGAGGACACATGGATTGGACGTCCAAATCGTCGTCAAATAAGGTCTCACAGTTTTCGATACGAACTATGGAATTATTAGT